CAGGCCAAACAACTAATCTGCTGCAAAACCTGTTGATAATCTTGGATGTGTATCTTGTCAATCATAGAATCATGTGGGTGGTAACTTCTTCTGTGAAACAAGCATTCTGCTCAATGAAGAAGTTGAATGGAGAGTGAATGCAGCATGCGTATACATGACATTTTAATTGCACCTTTGAAGGCTACTTTTGTCGACAGGCCAAAAGGTAACTGTATCCTACTCTGGATAACCATAGCCCTCATTCATACCTCTGCGATCTGACATTGCAGAGGTGCTGCAGGGTGCATTTGTGGTGCTGCCTATTGCAGCTAAATCACACTGAAAGAAGTGCATGCAACTTTTTTTATAATCGCACCACAGAGGTGGTTCTATACAACGCACATGTGATGGCTAGGTGCGTTGGGGTGCCATTAAGAAGTAATGGCAGTACATTGCACCTAATATTGCAATATGCGATATATGAACAAAGCCTTACTCTTGGGCCTAAGCTGCTCAACCATCTTCCTGTTTGTTTGGATTTTAAGGGCCTTTATATGTTATACCTTTGCTGTATGCTATGGAATTACCCTTTGTTGTAAGTGGGAGCATTTGGAAGTTTGCATATATGTGTGAAGTTTTCCAACTCACATGTGAAATGATAGTGTTTGATGCAGTGTATTTGTGTCACTATACTATTGCTTTCAATGTCATTTGCTGTGAGTTACCCTTAGATGTACTCAAGCTAATTTATATTCATTGGCTTGATTCACTTGACAAAGCATTTGCTGTTGGTGGTCATGGAAATGCTTCATTGGATTGGTGGTCAGTGGGAAGAATGTTCCCTATATTTGTGGTCAGTGGGATCAATGCTCCTTACAATATTTATCAGTGGTTACTTATAGGATTGACATTGCTAAGAAAACCATAGGAACCCCCGAAGGAACCTTAGGATTCCATAGAACCCTATACGAAAGACAATATCTTCCTTCAGAATGATCCTGCAACTTAAAAATGCTGAGGGCAAGTAAGTGACATTCTCCCCACTGACCACCAATCTAATGGAGTGTTGAATAGAGCAGCCATGGGTGTCAAATGCCACATTTCTTATTCGTTTATTTATTTTTATGTCTCAACCTACTGTTTACACTAATGCACAATGAGCTGTAGATATAATTGTAATTTTTATCAGAGGTTTCCTAAGACCTGAAAGCTAATTTAAAGCCAAAGTCTAGTGTTTTGTATTCCTTGACACAAATACAATGCATTTTATGAAAGTAGTGAGGAGCAGTGGGTTTGCGACTGGAGCACTTCACTGCTCAAGCTGCATTCCTCCTCGTAGTGCCCGAAAGTTCACCATTATGTAGGAGTCGGCATGCTGCAAGGTAAGATTTTTATACTTTGCAGCAGCCCTCCACACATAACACACAGCTTTTTATGATCATTTAAACACCCTTCGCACATGTAGAGCAGTGTTAAATAACACTATATACAACACATATATTGGGCTAAGATTTCAGACAAACAAACTATATATGAAACTGCCATTTTTTTTTCAATCTAACGGAAAATTCTTTATTTTGGACTTGAATGCTTCTTTTATTAGTCAAGTTGGAATTCAAAACAAAAATATGGCAGATTTTTATTTTCCTTCAGCATTTCAAGATAGAACTGTAATCTCCAACAGAGCGTGCCTAAAACATCCAGGTATGTCCCAGGAACACTTTTGGTTACATGTCCAATTAGAAAGTGTGGAAATGACCCAAGCTCCAATGCTTAAGGATCAATAGATGTACCTAGAAGCAGCCTGTTTTCAGTTATCTAAAACATCTTCTTTTGGCAGCAGAACAATAATAGAGGTTCAACAAGAAGAACACAGTGTGGACTAGTGCATGTTTTAAGAGAGTAGGTCCCCATAAAAACAGCAAGTGCTATGTGGTAAACCTTACTAGACCTTACAAACAACCTACATATCCAAAATCCCTCACTTATGCCGTCTTCTACAGGATGTGATCATGCAAACTCTCTCAATTCTTGTTAAATGCCTGTTAAATTCCTTTTACCATTACAGCACATTCGTTTTGCATTTACTCAAGTGTAAATTTAAGGCTTGGAAAATCGAGACTATCATAATCCACCTTCCAGAACTTCCTTATCGTTGCTTATTGTTTTTTATCTTATTAGAATAAATGATGTTTTATAGCTGCCCAGAGGTTTATTAATACTAGCTTTATTCATTTTGGGCATTTTAAACTTATTCTTTTTAAAGGTGTATTTACATGTTTTTTGTACGTTTTGTGCTACATTGATCTAGCCTGACAGGATTATCTTTTATATTCATAAATACTGCTCTACCACTTAGGTTAGTTACTATGTATACATTGTTTTTTTTAAATCTTATTGATATACAGTAGATGTTCTACTTTCATATGCCATAAGTCAATCAGTGGCAAACAGAAGATCTAATATGCAATCCATTCATATGGCCTTAAAGAAAAGCACATCTTTTTAAACAAAAAAGAGCATCTCCTCATATCTGGTTGTTTGAATTGTCAGCAGCTCTATAATTAACATTTCCATACAGGACTTTATTTTGCCAAGTTTTTTAGAAGCATGTACAGCAGGAAAGGTGTTTAACGCCAACAGAGGACTTTTATGCAAGAGAAAATGTATGACTAGATACCTGGGATTTGTTTTATATACATGCACTTGCAAAGTGCCCTTTATCTGCAAAGAGTGTTTTTACACAATGGAAGGAAAGGTGAAGCATCAGAATCCTTAACCCTTTTGTAACCGTGTGTAATTGATGCATAATCATGCCAAATTTAGCAGTATCAGCATGCATTGGTTAGTTATTATTTTTTTAGGACATCTATTATTTTCATTATTTTTATACAGGATTTAAAAAGCACTAACCGTTTGAACAGCACCTTACAATATAAGGAAGACATTACAGCTACAATACAATTATAGTCAACATGATTAGGAGGGCCTTGCCCATGAGAGCTTACAATCTAAAAGTTTGAGGCTTTTATGTGATACACAGTTTTTATAAAGAACCCTGTTTTATAATTATAGGCTGACAATAAAATTAACAACATGTTTTCTATTTTTAATGTTTTAAAGGAGAACTATGAGATGAGTGATTTCCACTCACCTCATTGTTCTAGCCGACCTGTGACAATGAGACTGTCACAGGTCGGCTCAGTAGATCGGGAGGTGAGAGAACAGATACCGGCGTTCGCTCACCTCTCGATTCTGTCACGGAACGGACGGTAAGTTAGGCAGAGCCAGCTGTCACTCACGCAGCTGGGCGGATCTCAACATCGATGTCGGGATTCGCTCCGGCTGCTGCATCTCAGTATACTGCGAGCTGTAGCTCGCTCTATACTGAGCTTAGGGTAACGGGAGGACGCTAGTTTGTGTCCTCCCGCTACCCTAAGGAGAACTATGGGGAAAAACACTGACCCCATAGTTCTCCTTTAATTTTTTTTAATACTGTAATTGTATTTAAGAATTATGGTATTTAACAGCTGTACACTGCCACCTTCATTCTACAGTGGCATCTGTAGTGTCATCTGCATGTTGACTTATTTTGTCACTGAAGCCCTCGAGGGTCATATTGCCGGGGAACGTTAATATACCGATTTTAGGCATAAAGGGGTTAGAGAGAGAAAGTAAACTTTCTTGGTTCACTTAGAAATATTAAAGTAGTTAAAGCTGAACTCTTGGCAGATATAAAAAAAGACACAAATGAATACAGCTCTGTAATAATGTCTGCATTATTAAATGTAGTTTTTAAATGCAAGCAGTGTAAGTACCTGAAATCAGCCTGGTACCAGCCTATTGCAGTCCCTGTACAACAGGTCAGGAGTGTGAGAGGAAGAAGCAGTACAAGGAGCCAGTTGATGTGCTGACAAGAAGCATGCTGATGGGATGATAAACCAGATAGACAGAGAAATGAGCCCATTACTCTGCTTCTTCTCCTTCCACTGTACTCTTCCAGCCTGGGGTGTTACGGACAAACATCAAGTGGCAGGAGAAAACAGATGGCAATCTCTGGATTGAAGCTGAATATTGCAGAAATTGCTGGTTTTGTTATTTTACCTTTTTATGTGCTAGTTATTTTTATCTTGTTATTTTTGTCTGGACATTTGCTTAATGCTGTGCTAAAGTGTCTGTATTTTTAAATGCCTTTAGGTTTTTTTAGACTGTGACCGGCTAAACATTCAATTAGAATTTAAAAAAAAATTTGTGTACCTCAACTTTTAATGTGAACATTAGAATTTGGTTTGTTTTTATATTACTATAAGAAAACATGTACTGCAATACATAGGCTATCATTGATGATCTTATTCTGAAAATGTTAGTTACCTGGCTGTCTCTGGTATCCAGAGCTTTTTGATGGATCAAACAGGTTTTCTAATATAAGAATTTGTAATATAGCAAGTTTTACAGTCCTTGCTATAAAGACGTAACTGTGATCTAGTGACAAGAATTGTCTTGCGTGACCCATTAAAATTATAGTGATACATTTTCTCTTTATTAAAGCAGTCTTATCATCTAACCATTGGTGAGTGGCTACTTACATTATATGACCAAATGTTTGTGGACACCTGACCAATCACACCTTCACTTTATGGCCAAAAGTATGTAGACACCCCTCCAAATTATTGAGCTCTGGTATTCCCAGTGATGGATAATAGTAATGCTACAGCATAGAAAAGGTATTTTAGACAACTGATCAATTCCACATTGTGGAAACAGTTTATTTTCTGTTCCAGGCCCTGTGCACAAAGCCAGCTCCATAAAGACATTGTTTGACTTGTTTTGTGTGTAGAAACTCCAGTAGCCTGCACAGAGCCCTATCAAGCACCTTTGAAATGAATAGGAACCCTGATTGTGAACCCAGTCACCTTGCCCAGTATCAGTACCAGGTCTAACAACTGCTGTTTTGGCCGAATGGGCATACAACACGTTTTTCTTTTTTCGTTTTACTAATGTTGTATTTGTTTTCTTCACAGGTGAAAAATGCAGCAGCTAATGTTCTCAGGGAAACATGGCTAATTTATAAAAATACAAAACTGGTGAAAAAGATAGACCATGCGAAAGTGAGAAAACATCAGCGCAAATTCTTGCAGGCTATCCATCAGTAAGTATTACATTTCATTACCTTGACATTATGTTCATTTTACAGTAATCCCAATAAAATGTGTATATCAAACTGTAAGAAGAACACCCAGGTGTTCCGAACACTGAAGTGGCTATTAAGTGCCTGCAATGAAATAAAGCAAACATCATCCTTACTTGGACAGCATTCCTACTTTCTTATTCTCTAGTTTCAGGAAGCAATCTATAAATCACTTCTAAACTGGAATCTTGATTGGTGTCCAAAATGGACAGGAACAAACTTTTTTGCTTTTTGAACAACACAGTCATTGTATTCTCAATAACACTCTCAACACTTAGGAGTTTTGTGTAGAGGGGATTAAGCCTGTTTTCTGTTTAAAGGGACTCTGTTGATAAAATGAATCTGTACAATAAATGTCTCCCTGTAAAGAAGACATTGAATACTTGCTTCTGATCTCTGCAATAGTGAGGAGAAACTGCCACCTGAAGATTCTGCAGAATCCAATACTTCCAGCAGTGTCAGATTCCTGGTCCTCTGCTGTGCTCAATTGTTTGATCCATCACCCCCATCTGTGCTTAGTGGTGTGATTCACCACCCCCCAGATGTGCTCATTAATTTTATCCGCAGGCCCCTACATTGTCCTGTATACATTGATAGCACTAGCTTTATTAAAAACTTCTCAAAATAACCATAACCTATAGATTAGATCAGCTGTTAATACTTAATTTCAGACACAAGATTTATTTATCAGTGGATTGCTTTAATGTTTCCTTCCTGCAATCTGCATATTCTTTTTTAGGACATTATTCACAAAAGGGTGAAGAGTTTGGAGAAGGCAGGAGAAGATTAATGCTCTGGACTACAACCCCCAGAGACGTAAAGCGAAAGTGAGCTGAATTGGAGATTTTTTTCAAATCAGCTATGTTGCCCTAGATTGTTCACTTCTCCTGCCTTCTCCAAACTCTGCACCCTTTTGTGAATAACCCCGTTAGTGTTTCATTTGATGAAAAAGCTGCTTATATTTCTGGTATGCAGGATTGTCCGTGCTACTTCCAGGGTCAGATGACACCACTGCTTCATGGATGAATTAGATCTACCATTGTTGTCAGCTTCTGTACACTATGTATGTTACTAAATATGTACAATTACATCAGTGAGCCTGTTCTATCATGAAAATACTCATTACTTCTACTACTAGCAGCACATTCTCCACCCTCATTCTAAGAATAACCCCATTAGTAGGATCAGATAAAATATAAGAAAACGTAGTCCATTTATAAGCTAACAAAAGGAGCTTTTGAAATATATTTGTAACATTTTCAATGGCAGGTTATGGTTGTTTAAGGAAGTTTTTAATAAAGCTAGTGCTAGTAAATGTAAAACTCAATTTAGCTGCTTATCTACATTGTTAAGACCTAGCCTTACATTTGCATAGCTATTTCAACCATGTTATAATACAGCACTGTATTTCATGTGATTCTTAAGTTCAACAGGAGTTGCAGAGTTTTCCTTTGAATATGTGTGTACCCAATTTAAAAACAGATAATGGATATCAAGTGATAAGACATTTCAAGCATTTTCTGCACTATAATAATTGAAATGGCATAAAATACCATAAAAATTTTTCATAATGATCTTCAAAACATAGATTGTATATTTAGAGATGGAAAAATATTTTACTTCGGTACAAATACTTTTACATTGCAATTACAAGGCTTTGTTTACAAGTGACTGAATTTCTTTTGGCCATAAAAAAATGGTTGCATGTTCTCTGTAATAACATTTCAAAAGCATTTCGCAATTGCTATGATGAGCAAGAATGAAAAACAAGTGCAGCTCAATGGGATTGCTAAGATACAGGAACAGCAAATCAGACTTGAAATAATCATATACCAGTAAAATAAAAGAAGTTGGAGTTTCCTAAAGAAAAAGCGTGTATTTTCTACATTTCCCATAACATGTATACTTCTTTACAGTATATTTTAAACAGGCTTTCCTTTGTTTTGTTTTCCTTTTTTTCACCCAAATGAAAATAGAGCTCGGAAGTAAGTTACACTGTACCAGCTGTTATTTAAAACCTTGTGAAGAATCTTTACTACTGCATGCCAAGGACTGATTTTTTCTCTTTAATGCTTGAAGGGATGCCAGCTCCTCAAGATGGGCTGCTGTCCTGTCAATCACATACCAGTTACTGATATGATTGCTGTCATGGAAACTTAACCGAAGTCATGATTGTAACCTGTGATAAGTGAAATTTTGAGGTTGAAACTCCACATTTCCTAATTAATTTCCCTTAAATGGTGCTTAGATTATGTGAATAAAAATGACAGGATTGCTTCTGCTGCTCTCTACATTTAAATCTGTACACGCATTGGGGAGATTTCCCCTCATTTATTATTACCAAGGGCACCACAGGAAGTGAGAGGAAATATCCCCTAAGCAGGTCAAACAGGTGTCCCCATTGAGAGGTTTCCCTCATCTGAAATCAAGAACATTTGATTAGAATTCTGCTTTCGAAGCATACATATCATTCTTTAATTGCAGACATTAATGAAGGCCTCCGAATCTGACCACTTTTTCATTTAGCTTGTTCACCTACATGAAACATAATGTGTGTGGACCCTGAATTTATTGCTCTTAGGAGTTTGTTTTAGTTGATCACTGTTGTTTCTGCTACATAAGGCTGGTGCCGGGAGTGTTATTCACTCTCTAGTCTAGAGCTTGAACATGGGCACCCAGGAGATGTGTGTGTGCATTACCATACACCAGTTATCATACCCATGTGTTTGATCACCATGATGTTTACGACCTGCTTAATTATGCAGATATAATATGTGAGGCTATAAATTCTCAGCTGATAGCTGATGAGTCTCCCTAATAAGTTCAGTAGTAATTCATATACTGTGCTGTGAGTTTGCAACATATTGAGGAACAGCTTACGTTAAAGTGAATCTGTGCTTTGCATATGTAGACCAAAGCAACAGGTTCACTTTAATACAGACATCTACAGACTCGCTTACATTCCTTTTACTCCCCCACTATTCAGTTCAGCCACCTTTAGTGAAAGCAAAACCCTGTGTATGATACAAGTCACTGGTGTTGTAGCTCACACAGGCCTATAGACCCTTCTGTGACAATGGTGATTGGCCCAACCTTGTCATGGGTAGGTTATAGGCACCTTCTTGCCCAGAAGTACTGGGAGTTTCCTTTGACTCATGACACTTTAGGTAGCAGCAGGGAAGCGAAGGAAAGGTATTTTATACTACAGGAGGTAGATGAGTTAAAGTGTATTTATAGCCAAAAATGTTTTTATAATTTTTGAATAGAGTAGGCAAGGGTTAATATTCATGTCAGTTTATTTATTTTGCTGTCTGTGTACCACTGGGAGATTGTGCTTCACTTCCTGTTCTAGAGATGCAACAGGAAGTTAGAGGAAATCTACCAAAGTGTGGGTAATTCTATCTTAGGCAACTATAAACTTCTGGGGACAACTCTAAAATTTTGGATTGGCCACGACTTACTTTCTCATTGAAAATGGTTACCAGTACAAGGGGTACATTTCCCCAATGGGGACAGAAACAGCAATACAAAGTTGACAGAGGGTCTAACTCTTCCCCATTCTCTATGAAACTACTACTACAAAAAAGAAAGATTTGTCTAGAGATACATTTTAAAGCTTACCTGTTCAAAAGCACAGGTTTACTTTAAAGTTTGTAAATACTTTAGTAGTTATGTGGTCATCTGGGGTCTACATTTTCTACATAATACATACATAATCAGTTTAGTGATTTTTCTTTTGTGGTGGCTACAGTTGTGAATATATAGTTATTAGGAGACATCAGATCGCATGCAATGTTCATGTTTTTCTGCATTGTTAGTCATTTACATATGCTATCCTATAGTTATTATAAGAGAGGAATACAAGAAGTGAAGTGGGGTTTTGGTTTCCCTCTTGGAAAGGGCAATTTGGACTGTTGTATTTGGACACATACTCACTACCACTGCACTGGACACACTCTCTTGTACTCGATGCCACTGCACCTGAAGTGCACTCTCACACTCTTTGCCACTACACATAAAGGCACTCTTACACTGATTGCCACTTCGCCTATGTGCAATCTTGCATAGGCTGTCATAGCACTGACACATACTTTTGTATTTAGCTTGTTCAACCAATGGGCACCCCTTTGCTAGTCACTTTATATAAAAATTAACTACTGCTTACAACGCTGGTCAGTGTGCACTGCAGTCACAAGATGACTGAATCAGTGGGCATTATGCTTTAGTTGAGAGCAGCTTATGTGGCTTTAAAGTCCATTTTTTTTCTTTTTCAGATAATCCTATTACCAAGGGAATTACAATGCATTTGTGGATGTTTGTCTCATAGAATTCATCAAATTGTTCTGTTATGTTGACCAATGCAGCTAAACTGTAATAACCAAATGGAATGTTGCAGTAGTAGTGAGATAGGTTTTTATTTCAGAGTAAAAGGACATTTGTGACTTGTATGCATAATTTTGCTACTTGGCCTTGTGCACTGATATATTTCCTAAAATACCAAAATTAAAATTTAGGACACACACAAGCCCCATACCATCCTAGGAACCAAACCCACCTATATCTGTGTAATGCCTCTTCATTTTTAAACAAGGGTCCAAGTGTTGGAGCACTTCAGCCAATACTGTGATACGTTGTTGAGTTTATCCCATTTAGTCCTAAATAGTTCTCATTGTTGCTGGCCCTCTTATGAACACTGTTACAGTGGCCATAATGGTCTCCCAAGCAACAGTGTTTCGCTACAGTTTATGAGAACTGGGTGGGGGTAGTGGACCTCTCTGTGTTAATACAGGAATCAAAAGGGTCCAATTTTTGCAAATAACCCTTTTAAAAACACCAGATATGAGCCAGATTAAAGCGCTGTGCAAACTATTAGCGCTATATAAATCCTGTATAATAATAATGAGCCATTAATGTATCGTTAACAACAATATATATATATAAATATATATATATATATATATATATATATACACTGAGTGGCCAGATTATTATGACCACCCCATCAGTACTTCGTTGGGCCTCGAGATGACTTTGTTGGGCCGCCTCGTGACTCCACGAGATGTTTAAAGGTGATGCAAGGAATCATTCTTATTAAAATCATATATATTTGGGTGCAAAGTTACAAAGATAGATTTCAGGTCAGTAGAGTAAATACTGGAGATTACAAAACATGTACTGTGTAGTGGAGAGTTATGCCGTTGAGGGAAGAATTGTTCTAGTACTCGCTGTTTGAATAGCTGGCCATTGCATATATGGTCAGAAAGTGGTCATTATGGAAACTCTGCAGAACATTGGGAAGTCAATTTGTTTCAAACGAAATAAACTGACCTTACATTTCTTTTTGTCACCTACAATAATACAGTTTTAGCTGCTGGTCAAGTAAAAGGTTTATTAATCTAGTGAAATCTCTCACTTATCACTGTATTTTCATCAGGTATCAACACACCTAACCCAATCCATCTCAAACTAAAAAGGGCTAATACCGTATCAACACACGCAGACACTGGGATGAACATGCTAATGTAATCTTTGCACTTCAGCTGTTTTTCCAGTGCCTGTTCGTCCTGATACTTTGCTGCTTCTCTATTCCATGGAGTATAGTTTATTCTTTTATTATGTAATCAGTTAGAACCATGATGAATCTGGGGACATCGCACTTGCTTTCTGCTTTGCTGTGTTGAAGAAGCATGCTTTTCATTCTATAGACACATAACTAAACTGATCAGTCAAACTTCTCAAGGCATCTCTCATACCCTATGATCTGCTCTTGCATGCTAATTTGAATTTTCATGGCATGTAAGAAAAATACTTATGTCAGTCTCCTTTTACAGGTTACGAAGTGTTAAAATGGAGCAAAGGAAGTTGAATGATCAAGCTAACACCTTAGTGGATTTAGCAAAGGTCAGTATGAACAGTGGAAGAGATTTAAGTGTTCTAACAGCTCAAGCTCAAGTGTATTTCCAATTAATATCACTTCTATGTCCTTCTAATTAACAGCCGTCCCTATACTTTTAATTAACATCACTTTTGTGTCCTTCTAATTACTGGTTCTCCCTTGTCTTCTAACTAACAGCACTTCCATTTCCATCTAACAGTACTCCCATGCCTTTCTAACTGACAGCACTCCCACATCCTAACAGCACACTCATGTTCTTCTAACAAACAGCACTCCCATGTCTATCTATCTAACAGTACTCCATTATCCATCTAAGAACACTCTAATAACACTCCCATGTCCTTCTAACTAACTGCACTCCTACATCCTCCTAAGAAAACAACGATAACAGCCACTCTGATCTGTTTGAAACTAGCAAAAAGGGAAAGGCGTACGTAGGCGACGTAATATACAAAACAGTACAAAGGGGATCCCCAACATAATTTCAAGCTAGCCAGCAAAAAAACTAACTAATCTGTTTTAGCTACTTATGTCAAAAACAGAGAATAAAATTGCACACATTTGCAAAAAAAATGTGGAAATCTCACTGCCACTCTCCTGGTCTGTCACAGGAGGCTGAGCGGGGCGGTGCTGGAGAAGAGCCCGACCTCTTGTGACACGCCAGCTGCTCACATCGCTCTCCTCCCCGCACCACTCGGCCTCTTGTGACAGTTTCTCTCCTCCCCGCTGGATGCTACGCTGTGTCAGAGGTGACACAGAGCAGCACCCAGCATGGAGGAGGAAAAACCAGGCATGCACCGCAATTTCCTCCGAAAGAAGGGAATTTCAGCATTTTGCCAAAAGTGCCATTTTCGCCAAAATGTTTCGGCAGCCGAAAATTCGGTGCATCCCTATTTATTATATATGCTCTTTTTCTTGAACTTGAGCTTAAACAATAGAAATGATTGATTGAATGAATGATTGATCAAACTAGTTATTGTACACATTATCAACTTATGCACATATGTTTACGAGCGAAAACCACGCTGCTTGTAAAATCAATTGTTAAAGCAATCCAGGGAATAGCCATTCAGTTTGCCCAAACCTGATTTCTATAGACATTTCACATTGACAGATTAATCGTGGTTTTTAGAAGGCCTCTGGGCATGCCTGCAGTGTGCAGACATCCAGTAATGCTTCTAGTAAACAGCAGTGCAGGAAGGCACATAAATTATTAGAAAGGCACCTAAGTAGACTGATCTTAATGACTTGAACACTAGGTTATTATCATTTAGGAAACTGTACACAGTAGACTGACCTGGTGTGTTCAGAAAAGCCAAGATAAAACAAATTGTAGACTGTGACCCTTTTCAATATTTTCAGGCTAAATAATACCGCTTAGCTGTAGTGCATCTTGTAATATGCATAGGGAATTAACATTTAATTCTTAGCCAATGTGTAGATGTGCATTTAGCAGTTCATAGGATGATTCACTTGTGAATGTATATTTTAAACTGTATTATTTATGTCCTGAACATGAAAGATTTTATGGTGTTGTCAATCATAAGGATTAGGAATAGGAGACTTACTGGCATTTTACTAGAGGTTCAGGTACCTACAAAAGTCTTAAAATGTTAAAGCGAATCTAAAACCACCAACAAACATTTAATATACTGCAGTTTATCAGTCCTTAGATGAGGTGGCTGCATGTGTTTTCTTTTTTGTTCTGGATTTTTTTCCTTTATTTTCACATAATGATTCTGCCAATCACACACCTCTTGTCCCAGGGTGACAACCCTCACTTGCTGCACTATATCTATAGAAAGGCATTGTTACCCTTGGCTGCTTTTCTGATTTGTACTACAGACACCTCCTTATCTCCATTTATAGAGGGGCATTGCTCTGTAATTTTTAGAAGATAGTAGAGAAAGCTGCAAACATTGTTTGAGGTTTAAGTTCAGTCCACAGGAATGTACAAGGATACAAGACAGGATCACAAGGTATTTTTCTGCACTTGCAAAAAAGGTACTTGGCTGTAGAAAAGAAAAAGGAAGAACTTCTAATAAAAAATTAACTTGTAAGCTGCAATATATACAATTTTAGTTTTTGAGTTTAGATATACTGTAAGTTCCCTTTGTGTAGTGTGTCAGGTAAAAGCTTCCAGACACTGTGCATAATGACAACAAAGAAAGATTGTAATTTTACTTCCCTTTTTCCTCCCAGACTCAAAACATCATGTATGACATGATTTCCGATCTAAATGAAAGAAGTGAAGACTTTGAGAAGAGGATTGTTCTCTTAGAGACGAAGCTAGAGACATTAATTGGTAGCATTCAAGCTCTCCCTGGACTGATTAGTCAGACAATAAGCCAACAACAAAGGGACTTGATGGAAGCTCAGCTGCAAAATTATGACAAGCATGTTGCATACAGCATCGAACGTTCACGCTCTGTGTCAAGAAGGCGGCGGTCTTCATCCACGGCACCTCCAACTTCATCGGAAAGTAGCTAGAAGGGAATAATTTAACCAAAAACAAGAAAAATACTTTTTTGCCATCATATGGTCAATATTTTAGCTTTTATTGTAAAGCCCTATGGTTCTAATCAGTGTTATCTGGGTTCTGATGTCAGAATCTTAGAAACCTGAACACAAAGTTTTAGGCCAAATAGAGTGAGAACTCTCTTTTATTTCTCAGATGCACAGTGAATGCACCTATCATTGCTATATAGATTGTTTCTCCTGTTTCACTTTTTATTCATGCACTTCAAAGAAACTTTACTACTACTATATAGTATAATAAAATATTAATTTCTGAACATAATTGTATGGTCACTTCTGTTCATACAATGGGTTCTGCTTACATTAGGCAAGTTTATTGAAAATAACTGAGTGATATGTACCAATGTGATTTTTATAAAATTATTTAGTTGTTAATTTTAAAAAAATGGGTTATATTCACAAATCCTCTGACTTTGCATCTGGAGATGCCAGAGCAAGTCTGTGTTTAGCACTCACTGGAACTGTGTGAAATTGTCCATTGCAGAGATAATTTTACGCGCCCACAAATGCTCAACTGGTCCTTGGTCACAGCTAGATCCACCAAGAAAGCTGTACAGGTGTGAGCAAAGGGTCAATGAGTTTTGACACATTCACTATAGACAATAATTATCCCTACAGTGGACACTTTAATCCACACTGAGCCAAAGGTACTAAATGCAAAAATGGCCTCACAGCCCCTAGATGTGGTGTCCCAGGTCTTGTGAGTATGGATCCTTATTAAAACAGCCACCAGGTCTTGGTTATTTTTTTAATTATACATATAGAACAGATATATATGCATAAATATATAATATTAACATGAGACTTTGCCTTAAGAAGTATAGTATAGTTACCAGTTGTAGATTTATCCAGGCTCGAATAAAAGCTTATGTTTTTAAACCTTTTTCTTTCTTTTATTCCTTTTTTAATAAAGTTGATATGTTGGTTATTGCCTTTCTATCCAATGCTGTCTGTTTCTCTGTGCCATATTTAACAGTAAAGAATGTATTATCAAGCTTAACAGCGACAGACCTTTCATGGAATGTTTCAGTTCTCAGGCTTTAGTCTAATACTGGGTCAGTCACCTTATTCTCTGTGACATGGACACATCCTTCACAAAGAAAATTGGGCTCTAGATACACTTTATCATAAAGAAGAGAGGAGTGTAAGCAAAAGCAAAATATGTACGCTGCCATTCCTGTGTGGGTTCTGAAAATACTCTTTGGCAGTTTCTGGCTTCAGAAACAATTACTGAGTAATTTTCCCAGAACAGAAAAATAAGACCTTCTGACCTACATTGCCATTCAGGTTCAATAAATACTCTGCCTTGCCAAAAAAAAATCACACACTCTAATATTTCGTTGGACCACCTTTAGCTTTGATTACGACATGCATACGCTGTGGTATTGTTTCAATAAGCTTATGCAATGGCACAGCATTTATTTCCATCCGGAGTTGCATTAATTTTTCACCAAGATCTTGAAGTGATGATGGGAGAGTAGGACCGCTGCCTAAAGTCTTCTCCAGCACATCCCACAGATTCTTAATGGGGTTAAGGCCTGGACTCTGTGGTGGCCATTCCATGTGTGAAAATGATTTCTCACGCTCCCTGAACCACTCTTTCACAATTTGAGCCAGATGATTCCTGGCATTGTCATCTTGGAAAATGCCCGTGCAGGGAAGAAAAAGTCAATTGGTCTGAAAACCTGGCCATTCAATATATTCAGGTAGGCAGCTGACCTCAATTTTTTGGTGGCACAATGTTGCTTATTCAATGCAAGGCTCTTAACTGTTTGCTTACCTAAATCCATGTGGTGACTTTTTTTTGGGGACACACTACAATAATATTCAGAAGAGGTCAGCAATAGAACCCCCTGTATTTCTCAAGGCTCAGGTTTCTTTTAAATCTAAAAGATTTCAACTTACTCCTCCTTTTCCTCCACCCACTCTGTGCACTTAGGTTTCATTGACTTCACATTACAGGGTTTTCTTCACTGGTTCTTAACAATGACAGAGGAGTAGGCTAGAAGTTTTTTCTGTGTGGGTAGAGAGTGAGTCATTGGAAGGGGGACATCTGGACAGCATAGCAATTTCTAGCTCAAATTTTACTTGAAATGCCCCAGATCTAGTTCACGTGCTTAGAGTGTGTTTGTGGACAGCCTTATTGATGTACCCGGAGAACTCAGTCACGGCTTAGAGATCTTAAATGCAACAAAAATAAAACAGCATGCATGTTAAAATATATTTTTGTTGGTATGCTCATAGGGCTAAACTTTTTTAAGACAAAATAAAAGAAGCAGCCCCATTAACATCCTAAACACAGGGGTTTAGTGATTGAGTCAGCGTGCCACACAAGGCTAGGATAAAACCTTTAATATAAACCCTAAATGGACAATATTTGTTTGCTAAAGCACTGTGTAATATAAACAATTGCCATTTCCCTATAAAATGCTGTTTACCTTTTAAATCATTTTTGAATATCAGTGCTGCTGATCTTCTCCAGCCTTTTTAAGCCACCTCCTGTCTACATCCTCAAGTGTCAGCTCCACATCATTGTGCTCATAAACTTCCTGATAGTGCCAATGGTGGCCTATGCCTGTGCAATGTGTTTGACATGGCTGTCTGAAGTCTCGACCAGGGGCACATGTAACAGGTAGAAGACACAGAGTACAATTGGTAGACTGGTTTCACTCCATACCAAGGAGTGCCTAACCAACGACCTTCATATGGTTCATCAGATTTTGTCGTTTAATAAAAGCTGCAGCTTTAAAAAGATGTAAGACCACCTTTGAATTTACATTAAAGGAGAATTATAAGGTGAGTGATTTTCCCTCAGCCTCATAATCTGAGCCGACCTGTGACAATGAAACTGTCACAGGTCGTCTCAGTAGATCGGGAAGTGAGCAAACACATACCGTAGCTCGCCCACTTCTCAATCTATCCCTGCAGAGAGCCGTGACTGTCACGGCTCCCTGCAGGGATTCCCCCCCCCCTTGCCAATCCTCCAGCGCTGACTGGCCGGGCGGGCACAGCTGGCTCTGCCTCTGGATAGGCAGATCCAGCTGTCAATCCCGCAGCTGGGTGGATATCGACAGCAATGTCGGGATCCGTACCGGCTGCGGCGTTCTCCCGTGACCCAAAGCTCAGTATACCGCGAGCTACAGCTCGCGGTATACTGAGCTTTGGGTCACGGGAGAACGCTAGTTTGTGTTCTCCCGTGACCCTTAGGAGAACTATGGGAAAAAGCCCTGACCCCATATTTCTCCTTTAACATGTTACCTGTATGATATTTTAGAAACTAGATTTACTTCTCAGCGGGTAGGCTGTAAGCTTTAGGTAGGGTTAAACACCATGCACCATGGAGTTGTTGCAATATAAATACTAAATGTGCAAATTAAGATAATATTGCAGCACACATCTTCCAAGGTCCAAGTCTTTATTAGACGTTGGTTGACTCTGCAAACAGGGGCTTCTAAATACCCCCTCTCCAACAAAAGGAGGAAGTGGGCATATTCCAAACCTTGCATACATTAAAACTACAAATATGATTAAAACAAAGACATAATAGCCACACATTACTCCATACAACCAGTGACATATATTATCAAAACAATTCTAGCTGAATTCTCCATCCACCAAAATCTCAAATCTCAAAATGCACATATATAAACATTGTGAATATAAGCAAGATATAAAAGCAACTGCAATAAAAATAATGTATCTCTCCCCTCCTAGCACGGATCCAGCATACTAAACTGAACAAGAATTTAACCACCTAGTCCCCACGCCTGTGTCAATATACTTAAGAAAAGAGTCCTGGATCCAAAACTGATGAATCCAAAATCTCTGTTGTTACAATAACTTCATGTGGGGATCCCTC